TGTGTGTGTGGGTGGGGGGGGGGGCTCTTGGGAAAAAAGGTTGGGAACCCCTGACCTAGTAAATGTTGTCACAGTCAAATAAAACCTAACAATTGAAGAATTATTGCATAATGCAAGTGTTTTTTGGTCCAAATATTGTTTCAAATACATAGTTTTTTTGATATTCCGAAATACAAGTGAACAATTTTAAACCTTTACAAAATGTGACAGTGAGTGGGTCACGAAAACTTATAATCTATAGCTGTGATTCATTACGAACTGATCATTCACAGAACAGATCAAATGAAGCCGTTTAGAAGCCTTGTGGTCTTCTTCTAATGGGCTACAGGTGGCACATGAGTCATGTGGACCTGGTTAAAAAAACAAGAGCACAACGATCCATGTTTGGCTGTGACTGTAGTAACACAGTAAACGAAACAGGGATGAGGGATTGTGGTGCATGAAGGAATCTAACCGGAAGCTGCTGATGAGTAATACAAGCAATTGGAAATTTAGTTCGACAACTATTTGCAGTATAACTAAAAAGTTAAATGAATTTCTTACATTTGTCCTCTTTGAATAAATAAAAAACATTGAGTCCAAAAGATCGGCACAACAATTATGTTCCCATAGGATAATTCTAATTGTACCTCATTGTATTCATGCGTGTGATAAACATAAGCTGCATATCACCAATCATTGGATGTCACCCATTGGTGTCAAGATGTTGGAGCAAAGTACATACATAAGTACACATTGCTGTGAAAGGGTTAAATTAGATGCACCATAACACGGCAACACCCAAGAAAAGCAACCTGTCATTCATAAGTTAGACAAGCCCTAAAGCATACTCTATGAGCCTATTTGAATTTAAATAGAAATATAATTTACAAAATGAACATCATGCTATATTGAACAAGACTTGAAACTAGCAGTCGAGACCATAAAATCAATGAGAGAATGTTTTCTGAGGTAATAAGTCAAGTCCTAATGGAGTATTTTTCTCATAGACTTCTATAGACTTCCCTTTTGCCCCCTGCTGGTCATTGAACAGAATGCAGGTTAACAACACTTCCATAAATGCCACACTTCCCCAGATGTTGCCCCTCTGTGTCAAACTGTCACTCCACAAATATCTTCAATCAAAGAAAGACTCACAATTTTTGTCCCAGTAGTCGGAGTCATCAGTTTTCCCATCCACCTCTGGGGTGGGGGGCGTTGGGTCCTCTTTCCAATAGGTGTCGTAATTATCAGTCACAGGAACGTATGGTTCTTTATCGTCTGGGGTCCAGTAGTCATCGTAAGCATTAGGCGCCCCAGTGGACGGCTCTTCCTCCTCGGGTTTCCAGTAGTCATCGTAGACGTCTGTCACTGGAGCAGCCGGGTCTTCCTCCTCCGGCTTATAGTCATCGTATGGAAGATCTGTTAATGGAGCAGCCAGGTCTTCTTCCTCCGGCTTATAGTCATCATAAGGAAAATCTGTTTCTGGAGCCTCAGGCTCAGGCCCGACTGGTGTGGGATCGGCATCCCAGTAGTCATCTTCTGGTTTCCAGTATTCATTGTCTGGCAGAAAAACAGATGTAAAGCTAGTCTCAGGTGTCCAAACTGAAATATTGTTCAAGTTCAAGGTTCAAGGCTTTTATTAGTCATACGTACATAGCTACAGTGTAGTTATGACGATTAAAATCTTAGGTCCCAGGCTCCACCAACAGTGCAACAACAATACTTTTTAGGTTATGCCCATATATTAACTGCTTTCTTAGAAAACATTATACAGCAATTGCTATTGGAAGCAAACTTAACATAGCTGGACTATAATATGTTATAGGTTTGTCTTTTGGAATGAATGAACCTTTCACAACTGGCTTTCTGGTAGCACTAATCTTGTGTTTTTTTTAATAAATATTGTTTTCCTTTAAGGGAGATAATGGAGGCTTTAAGCCCTGAAAACTGACTTTGATGTTAAATCTGTGGAGTACCCCTTTAAAATGTTCAATAATTGTGGGAAGTTGTACCAACCCAGTATTATATTATTATGCAGTCATGGGTAAATCCAAATGAAATATCAAAAATGCTACAAATGTTGTAGATCTAAAATTTGATAAAATAAACTGTTATTTATCCCCAGCGGACACATGCTAAAAAAGTGAGATTGGTCTATAGATATATTTGTTATAAATAGATTTATGATGATAGAATGTACCTATATTTCCTACCCAATTAGTTTGTGTACAGTCCCTAAGTGCGTGTCACTCACCAACATCAGGATAGACGTAGTCAGTGTACGGTTCAGTGGGCGGTTCAGTAGGGATCACTGAAGGCAGCAGACAAACACAAGGTCAACAACATCCATAAAGTACAAATCATTCAAGTACAAACTTGGCTTTCTGCTCTGTTCTGTCCCCACCTGTTGTGGTGGGTGGTTCAGTTGTTGTTGTTTTTTTTTTGTCCTTCTTCTTTCCCTTCTTGTCAGTTTTGGGCTTTCTGGTGGCGTTGGGGTCCTTCGGCTCTTTTTTCTTCTTCTTGTCCTTCTTCTTCTTTTTACCTTCTTCTGGCTCTCTCCTCACCCTGCCAGAAATACCTAGAAATATGAGGTTAACAGAAGAAGAGAGGTTCTCCCAAATTAATGTAATCTTTTGGCCATGATCAAAATAAGCACAAAGCACAATAAATGCATAAACAATTGTCTTTTTCCCCAAAACAATTAAGCCTCTTCAGCTGGTATTACTAAATATCTTATAATGCCAAGAGATGAATCCATAAAAGCCCAATAACATTAAGGACTGAAATAAAAGGTAAAGTAACACTGTTTCATTTACGTCAGACTTCAATTATGCAATGATTTATTTCCTGCAATGGCAAAACACAGCGCTGCCAGGGAAAATCCAGACAGCGGATTTATTTTAGTGGCTGCTTCAGGTTCATCAGTATTTCCTCCTGAGGTTGTCTGAAATTGTGAGGCCCTTTCATGGAAAACACTGCTCTATCTTTCCATTAGCTGGACTCCATGAACCAGACCTCAGTTTTAATATGTCCAGATGTTCAATAAACACATCACTATCACCTCAGCATCATCTCATAAGTGAGACTCATTAAACGGTGCTCAACGGTTTGAGCTGACTGTTTGCAATTGTGCAACAGTTTTCCTATCAGTCTGACCAGAGTGGATATGCAGTGGTCAGTATTAATCATACAGGCAGTATGCTGTGGCAATGGAAAAGGTCCGTCTGTGTCATATCTGACCGCAATATGCTGGTATGTAGGACAAACACAATCAGATGTATTCTCTGCTGTGGAGGAGTAACAGGTTAGTATCTGTACTTTCTCATGCCTGTAAAGCTGTCAGACTCTGAGTGTGTGTGTGTGTGTGTGTGTGTGTGTGTGTCTGTGTTTGCTCTTCCCTATCATGTTGGAGGTCAGACCATACCTGATCAGCTTTGAGGTCTTGACTGTGCAACAAATGTATCTTTTACTTTACTTAAAATCTGAATTGTGTCCACTCACCTGCCTGTGCAGCCTCCTCTGTGTCTCTCTTTCCCCTTTTGCTGCTCCCCAGTGGGTGAAGGTCCCCTGCGAGTACTTGCTCACTCTCTGGGTCTTCCAGGGGCTCATCTTGCAGCTGATCCCCAGCCTGCTTCTCTGCTTCAGCCTGCCGCAGAGAAACGATCCCCCCAGCACTCTCCCCTCCTCTGGGGATCAGCAGGCAGCACAGGGCCAGCAGAGCCACCGACACAACCACAGTCTGGCTTTTCATACCTGCTGCTCTTCCAAATGCACAATCCTTTGGTTTGGAGTTTTTTTCGATTCAATCTCAGTCGCCTCAATCCAACCTCGTCCAGCAGAAGAATTCCTTCTCAACCTTTCCTTCCCCTGTGTCCTTCGCAATGTGATCCACACTTTTTATTCCAGCAGGGAAACTTCTGCAGCTCCTCACACAGACACAATGTCAACCAGACTGGGCTAGACTGAGATGGAGTGGGAGGGGGGTAGGGATATGCAGGGAGGTGGGTTATACAGAGAGAGAGAGAGAGAGAGAGAGAGAGAGAGAGAGAGCGAGAGAGAGAGAAAGAAAGAGAGATACAGAGCAAAGCAGCAATCCAGTCAAATGAATGGACTGGTTTCCTAATTGCCCCACAGCTACGGTCAGCTGCAAAAACAGCGCAAGGCCAGAGGATCCCCCCTCACCTGGCTGACGACGAGTCAGAACAGGTGCAGGGATCAGACAGGAGACGGCGGGGGGAGGATGAGGGAGGGCAGGTGAGGCCTCAGACTACAGGGCTTGCACCTCCTGGGTTGAAGAAAGAAGTCAGATCTTTCTTTCCGTCTGCAGCTCCTGTTGAATTCCTCACAGAGAGCTTTAACCCTGCAGACTCACACAGAGCAGAGCAGCAGGAGAGACGAGCGACTGCTACGACTTAGAATTCCACACCAGGAGGAGGAGGAGAAAGGGGAGAAAAAGGGGAGGAGGACATGGATTGTGTGTGTGTGTGTGTGTGTGTTAACAAAACCAAACACTGTTAATCATCAGAGGGAGGAATTCAAAGAAAATGAAAACAGAACATAAATTATTTTGCAGTCCGAGGCTTGTTTTGGTTGGGAACGGATCTTCACTAACCGTCTCGTGTCTGTCTTTCTTTCCTCACACTAATGATCCTTCAAATGGGGAGGGGAGGGTATGGAGGAACACACACACAGGACGGGGGAATTGTTTGAGCAGATGACAGAATAATAACCTTTTAAGATTTTAGTGTTTTCTTTGCTGTCCCCCCCCATCCTCCTCCTCGTCTGTCAACCATTTGGAGGGGCCTTTAAATGATGGACGTGCAGCACATTTATCCAGAGTCAGGGTACATGAATTAGTCTTTCATAGAGCAGTGTCTCAATGGGGAAATTCAAATCTAGGTGAAGATATTAGACAGTAATGACATATTTTTGCATAATGTAGAATTAAGTAAGGGGTCTAAAATAATGTCTGTGTAAAAAGGTGTCATGTTACCCCACTTTTGCACACATTCCTACAAAATGCAATGACCTCAGCGTAGGTTTTTTGCCTCCATTGTCACCTGCACTCACTCCATGAGAGAAGGCTTGTTATCCAGACATGCCTGATGTTTGAATAAAGAAGTGCAAATGAAAACACTGCACAGGAGTGTAACTGACACAAGACAGACACACAATAGCAAACACACCTGGTAAAAAACATTCAGTTTATATACACTCTCAGATGTTGAAGATAGTCTAACAGAATTGGTCCAGGAGGATTTGATTTAAAGACAAATGTATTGTAACATGCAATGATATCTGTGTTGGATATGACTAAGGCTCTGAAGAATGCAGCAGATAATTCAGACTAGAGTAAGGTCAAGCAGAGGCCTTTTTATCTGGCAAGGATACAGACTCACACAGTGGGGAGGGAGCTGGAAAACACTTTTCTTTCATCCAAGCTATTTCACAATACAGACGGAAATCTGCAAGGCCGGTGTCTGCCTTCAGTAATAAAAGTCAAATGAAAGCATGGAAAACAACATGTGAATCTCTTAAAATATTTACTCATGAAGAATGGAGTATAAGAAAACCAGAGCAGCTTTGATAGTAAATCACTTCTGTCTCACCAGATGGACGAGTGTGGAATTGTGATGGACTTGTACTTACATGATTACTACATGATACATCTTAAATGTATTTACATTTTTATGACAATTTTGCTATCGTTAAAGAATCCGATTACTTTTTACACCATTTTAAACAACAATGATTGTGTGTGAGCTGCAGTTACATACACAAATATCACACCAGGACACAGAGATAACTCCTGACCTTTGATGTCACTCACATGGTGATTACTGCTCAGACAAGAGTAAGTGGGGAAGTCCTTTTTTCTAAGAAGCGCAAGCAAAATGTTTCAGAAATGCACCACAGATGGATAATTACACAGATGAGCATTTGAGGCCTCACATTAACGTACGTGACAACACTTCCCACTTACCACACTTTGCATCCGGCATGTAATGATATAAAAATGTAATGTCAAGAATTTCCTGCCGAAAACAGTTGATATTCATGATATATTCCAGTTAACAATCAACAATTTGCTTAACACTTCTTAAATGCCACTTGAACATAGCAGAATATGTATGGCAAAGAAAAACGTTTTTAGTGAAAAAAAACTAAAAACAAATCTTAAATAATGGTATTTGTAAAATAAATCAATAATAAATTAGGAAACAAATAGCAACATTCTGTTCTTTCTTACATGATAGCTCCGGTATTTGTTTTTAAAGAGGCCCCATGATTCTTTTCTTTTTTTACCTTAGTGTGTAGTGTTTCTCTCCCACAAACTCCCCCACTGCCTGAAACACCTCAATTGTTTACTTCTAACAGAGTGACATCACTTTGTAACACTCACGCTATTATTGGCTAGTGCTCCAACACATTGCACATGATGGGCTAAGGGCTGGACATCTCTAATGGCGCATTTCCACTGCAGAGCCTCGCACGGTTTAGTACGGTATAGTTAGGCCTTGGTAGGCCAGGTTCACTTTATGCTGCGTTTCCATTACAGTTTAGGAACTGGGGTAGTAACTATAGCAGGGGTCGGCAACCCCTGGCACGCGTGCCAGCATTGGCACCGTAACCAGTGGCACACTAGGAATAAGTGGAATAAGTGTGCAAAATATTTCAATTGTATTTTTGGATCCTGACCGAGACCGCCGCCAGAGCGTCTCCTCGTTACCTGCAGAAGGAAGCCATGCACGTAACGCAGCCCCGCTCTCTTTATCTCCAGGTGACTTTCTGCCGCTTTCCTCTGTGGTGCAGTGCTGATCGTTTCACTACGGAGGAAAGCACTTCACTAATTGCAGTACCCATAAGGAGCTGTACAAATGCTGCAGTTTTT